TGAAGGAACAATGGGCTGGGAGGTCAGCTCCTTAATCTTAATTATGCAAATTCTCATGAAAATTGATCAACAACCACTGATCAAAGCTCATTGATCAAAGACCACTGACCAAAACCCACTGATCAATAACCACTGATCAATAACCATGAGTCCCATTCACAGAGTTGGGGAATGGCTGCAATCACAGCATGTGAGATGGCGACAGATGTACCCAGTTTGTGCTCCAGTGGATGATGAGAGTCAAACCTTAGATACTGATCCGTATGTGTACTTATTATGTGTATTATGTGTAAATGGCGTATGTGTACTTATTATGTGTATGTATGTGTAGGCCATTAACATGAAAAGGGAAAGACCATCTCTGAATGGAGGAGGGGCCTAAGGGTACATCTGTCACCATCTTACATGCTGTGATTGCAGCCATTCCCCAACTCTGTGAATGGGACTCATGGTTATTGATCAGTGAGCTTTGATCAGTGATTGTTGATCAATGGTTATGAGAATTTGCATAATTAAGATTAAGGAGCTGACCTCCCAGCTCATTGTTCCTTCAGTGGGCTGGTTTCAGTCATTATGCAAATGTCTGTTTATAAGATTGAAACCTGCAGTCAGCTGAGACTGAAGACGTCACCTGATGATGATGAAACGTTTCTCCCAGAAAACGCTACGTCAGGATGAACAGAATCAACTTTTGGAGACTTCAAGGTTGGGTATCGATCACCGTTCCCACACCCATCAGCGTCCTGCACGGCTCGGGACGAGCTTCAGCTCCACACTTCTAACAGATTTACTGCTTTTGTAAGATTTGTAACACTTCACGTGTTTTGTTGTTGAGCTTTTGTGTGTTTGTGGTGTGAAATAAAGACATGCAGCCAGTGAAGGACAGCTCTCAGAAGAAAGGAGATGGAGAGAAAGTAAACACCACATTCAGGTTCAGAAATATTTATTCCTCTTGTCAAATAAATAAAGTTCACAGGTTCAGCCTTTTGGACCCTTTTGTGTCGAACTTCTGAACTGGTTTGGTTTTTAAGGCTGCTGAGTGGACTGAACAAGACTGCTGCTGGGCGAGCGAGGCTCAGAGAAAGGCAAGCACATCTCTCTCTGCACGCCTCTGATGGAGGCGGAGCCACAAACTGAAACTAATGTCGGGTAACTTTACATCTACTCTCAAATAACCAGTCAGCTGCCACTGGCCTGAAGTGGGCTAACTCACTGCCACAG